CAACTCCAGGCAACTACAAGAAACTACAGGCAGATATTTATTAAATATAAAATATATATTACTGTAGAAATGAGAGAGGAACCATCTCTCTACTGGTCTGATGTAGACCAGTTCCTCTACATCAGACCAGTAGAGAGAGGAACCATCTCTCTACTGGTCTGATGTAGACTTTGGTCAGTTTCTCTGAGTTTTAATTGCTTAATTGTTTTTATTCTTGTGATGGTTGTGACATCAGTTCTTTCTCTTCACAGGGTTCGTTCTCTCCTCCGACATCGAGGACGTTTTCTTCCTCCACAAACGAAGACTTTCCTCCGTCAGATTTTTCCATCTCCGCCTCGTGAACGATTTCAGGAGTTTTCTTTTTTTTGTCCGAGCTGGAAGACGAGACGACCGCAGACGAGAGGCCGACATCGCAGGGAGGTCTGCTGCCAGAGTGTGAGAGTGCACGGGAGAGTGCACGAGTGTGTGTGTGTGTGTGTGTGTGTGTGTGTGTGTGTGCAGCTGCACGCTCATCACACATCACACGGCTTCTGAGTTATTTCCTGTTGCTCAACACTCGCTGTGAGGAAAATAAATCAACCAGTCGGATGTGAACAAATTAAAGTCAGAAGAAACTGAATTTTCCAAATATTTCTGGTGGAGGTCGCCGGGCTGTGATTGGATGATTACGGGCCGCTCTCTTCTTCTGCTGGTTTATTTCTTTAGTCTTGTCCTGAGTTATTTGGGCTTTTCTGTGTTTTTCGAGGACACAGAAGTCCGTTTGAGGAGAAACGGGTCCACTGGCTGCAAAGCATCATGGGAGATACGAAGGCCCGATGAAAACCTGGTTCCTGCAGATGTCCTCTTTTTGAACTGAAAATCACCAAATAATCATGTGAGAAACAGAACGTTTTGATCATAAACTCATTTCATGCGAGCGCTGAAGTGTTTATTTTCTGTCCTGCATGGGATTATTTAGCTTTTTACACATAAATATCACTTTTTCTTGAGGCTACAGATTTTGTTTTTTTGGTCTAAACACTATAAACTTTTCAGAATCTGGAGCTGTGACGCGTCCGTCTCTAGTTGGACCCCCTCGGACCCCCTCAGACCCCCTCGGTGCAGACATGCTCCCTGGAGGACTGGTGTCGGGTGGAGCGGGTTGCGGCGGCGGCGGGCTGTGCCTGCTCCGGTGGCTCGGCCTCAGGCTGTGGTCCCGGCGGGGGACCCTGGTGTTCGCTCTGCTCTGGTTCGGCTCCTGGTTGTTCCTCAACGGTCTGGTTCTGGTCCACAGGAGCATCCTGTCCGACTACTGCACCGACGACAAGAGCAAGAGGATCCTGCAGAGACTGGTGAGTGAGACCTTTATTCCTCCGGAGGCTGTGAAGACCAACACGCTTCAGCTCACAAACCTTTTCTTTCTCAAGACATCTGATTATTTCTGAGAGAGGAAGTTCATTCTTCACATTAAATACGAGGAAGTTAATCAGACGTTCAAATCTCTTAAAGTATAAATCTTTGTGTCGCTTGTGGACGAAGTAGTCGTCTCTCGTTGGTTTGTGGACGTTTTGAAGCCTCGAGTTCGGCTTTTAGTCGTCACCATCTTGTTTTTATCACCCAGTGAACAGGAAGTGTCCATATCTGGACTGAGGAGCAGTGACGTAGAGATGCCGTATACGTCTCTACGTCACGATGTCAATCACCGTGTAGCCCCGCCCTAAAGCATCCCCTGCTTTATGGTCTGTTTGACTCTAAATGGACCATCATTACATCTGGTTTGACTTCCTCACGTCCGATAAAGAGCAGCAGCTCTACCTACACGGGGTTAATGACCAGCTGTCACCTTCCTTTCATTGTCATCATCACCTAACAATGACCTCCAGTACAAACTGCTTTGTGAATTGTGTTTGGAGGGAAACGTGGGAATCAAACACCGGGTCATGTGAGCCGAGTGCTGTGCGAGCTTCATGTGACGTCAGTATTTATTCACTCGTTGTATTGTTGAGTTATTCTAGATGTTTGCTTATTTAGATTAGATGAGCTTTTTCTATTGTTAGTTATTTGTTTAGTTTGATTATTGTTAATTACACTGTGTGTATATATATATATATACACACAGGACCAGCATGCACTGGGGTGGGCCTGTGTTGTTTACCAGAGCAGGAGAGGCAGCGACGGTTTCTTTGTTCTTTTTGTTTGCTTGTTTAGTTTTTGCTCATAAATCATTAGAAACACAGAATCATGTTCATATGAACTCTTTTGTCGTCAGTGGCTCTTTGATTGATTGTTTGGTTTAGAATTGTTTTTTGTGGACAAATGACCGTCTCAAGAGCTGTTGATGCATTCTAGTTTTGTTTCAATTTCATCTCATTTTTAGCCAAATCATGTTTTTTATAAAACATAACTAAGTAGTTTTGCAGCGTTTTTGTTGTTCTGTTGACTGTAATCCGTCTGCTTTGAAGCGTATTTGAGAAGTTTAGTTTAGTTGTTTAGGAACGTGATCTTGTCGGAGACGGAGTTCAAGCTAAACTAAACTTAGTTTTGTTTATTAATTATCTAACTGACAGACTGATGCAGATGTGAATGAGTTCATGAATGTGTGTGTGTGTGTGTGTGTGTGTGAAGGTAACTACGGTCACGATGTCTCGTTAAACATCGTCTTGCTGCTCATAGAAACTGGATTATTGGGGGAAATATTCTGAGTAGAGTTTTGTTTGTTCGTGTCTCTTCTCTGGTCTTTGTTGACCTCGTTCAGCATTCACTTTATTACACAACGAGGAAAACGACGAATACTTATTGGCAAGAAAATGTGAAGAAAATCTATTTGTGTCTAAACGTTCTCACTGCTTGTTTTCATTCATTGAGTTTCAGCTCAATGTATTCTCCTGTTCTGTGGATTTCAGTGAAATATGAACTTTCAGGTCTCTTGTGTGAATCTGCAGCAGCTTTAATAATAATAATAATAATAATAATAATACATGATGTAGGAAGAGACGCTGATTAGAACATGAGAAGCGCTAAAGACTTTCTGTTTACGGTCTGGAGGACGGTCTGCGTCTCATCGACTGTTTCTGTGTCGTCAGTAGACGGCCAGAGGTCAAGAGCTTCTAATGGCCCGCGGTCTTATCTCCTGCTGCATTGTGGGTAAAAACACTGATAACAAGACTGTTCTTTCTGGCAGTCTCTCTCTCTCTCTCTCTCTCTCTCTGGATTTTTCTCTTCTCTGTTTCAAGTTCATCTCCTCTCTTTTCACCCATCTCTCTCTCTCATCCCTCCTTTATTTTCTCTTATCTTTCCTCGTTGCTTCTCTCGTGCAGCCTGTAGCAGGAAGGTACGGAGGACAGAGATTAGTGGCAGCGCAGCAATCACAGGCAGAGTCAGTTCTGCAGGTTTTTAATCAAACAAACCTCAACCAACACAAACCGTAGCTCAGTCCAGAGCTCGATCAGTTAACTCTATAACTAAACTAAATCAGCCGGGCCGCTAGCCGACTTACCGGGCGTAATCTTCTTCCTTCCGAGGAGAAGACACTCTTCTCCCCTCGTCATCGCTTCTCTGCTCCGTTTCCCTCCTTGCCTTTTGTTCCCCTCCCTGACGAGGAGATCTGGATCAGGTGTGTCTCTTCCCACACCTGATCTCAATGCTCTCCTGAAGGAGTGGGTGGGGCCTTCAGGCAGGAATGTAAATGCCAGCCACTACCCTGCCCCTCAGGCCCTTACAAGCATCATGTAAAGCTGCCTCGCACCATCAACCATTCATTTAACTAGGATCGGTTCCAGTCAGACTTTAGCCAAACGAGTTTTAAATGAGTGAATGCAGATTTTAAACGTAGCAGAGCTCTGTTACCAAACTAAGAGATGATCTTTGTTTAAATCCAACTTCAGACCAAAATGAAATAGAGTTTAGTCAACTAGCTTACTCAAGTTAAACGAAAACACAGCGATTCTTATTTTCAGGTGATTAGACACTAATGAAAACAGACTTATTATAGAACGATGTTCTAATCTGTCCATAGATCAAACTAAATGATACACACTTTTCCTTTAAGTATTTGTAAACATTGTAAACATGAGTTTATGGTCTCAATCTCTAGTTTTAAGTCTTCAAACTAAGACAATTAAAGATGGCGACGGCCGAGAATCGGTGGAGTTCCCCTTTAAGTCTGGAAACATTTTCTCGTCTTCTTCGACTTTTTTTTTTTACCCCTGAACCAACAATGGGGACGTTTCAGTGTGGTGATGAACCATGTTGTTGTTGTCGTCGTCGTCGTCGTTATTGTTGTTGTCGTCGTCGTTATTGTTGTCGTTGTTGTCGTCGTCGTTATTGTTGTCGTTGTCGTCGTCGTTATTGTTGTCGTTGTTGTTGTCGTTGTTGTCGTGAGAGTAACGTTGAATCAAACTCTCTCACAGATTCACAGGCTGTGATGTCACTCCCTCCTGATGTATTTAAACCTCTCAGAGATCCAAAGTGGAAACTGATGAAATCTCAAATAAACACAGAGATCCAAAAGTCAACAAACATTGGAGCGCTGAACTCCGTGCATCTCGCTGTTTGAAATGTTGCAGCAACATGTTGACTGAGACCAACAAGAGCGTTTGTGTTTCCAGAAGCTCGTTCAGCTCAGTAATGCGGGACAGATGCACCAAAACAGAACCAGCGCTCGGCTCAGCTCTCTGCAGATCGCTCTGTAAAAACTCAGAGCTCTGCAAACAGAAGCTTTCTGTAAACCTCTCGGCTTTTGAATCTGCAGATTAAACAGCTCTCGGGTTCTTAAAGGCCGACGGGTCGAGTGAAAGGCGAGGAGATGAATCGTGAGGAGACATCTGAGGACACAGACGAGGCCTCCAGCCTCTCTGAGCTCTGGAGGATAACTCGCTTCATTCTGCGTATCGCTGACCAACGTCTCTAATAGGCCCAACAAGCTGAGTGTGATGATGCATTCACTGCTTACAGTATATATATATATATATATATATACTGTATATATATTCATTCTGTGAACTCTCTGCTTCTTTATTGAAAGAGTCGACGTCGACCCAAAGCTGCATTTTGGCAAATAAAGCAAACAATCAGAATCCTCCCGCTAGCAGCGCGTGGAGGCTAAAGATAAAGAGTACTTTTACTTTAAATTGAAGTACATTTTGATGCTGGTACTTCTGTAGGACTTTCCTTGTAACAGAGTATTTCTACACTGTAGTATGAGTACTTGTACTGAAGTAAAAGTGGACGATGGGTTGATTGTGATCTGGATTGTAATAACGAGGAGAGATTATGATGTTTTTCTTCTGTTGAATTACTTTGTGACATAAATATGGAATAAGTTTGAATGAGACGATCATTAAACAAGAGTTCTGGACAACAGATCAGAGACGGTGATGTCATGGGGATAAAAATACACTCTTGGGAAACTCGTTGGTCTTTGAGACTTGATCTGTGGGCGGACGGACACACGAGACCTCAGGAGGAGAGAAGAACTCTTATTCTGGAGCTGAGATTCGTCTTCCTGCCTGAATGAAACTCCGTCTGACGGGAAACGTTTTCTAAAAGAAACGAGTTCCTGATGAAATGAACAACGTGTCATTTTAAAGATACGTTATGATCACAAACACACGTCCGTCACTGCTGCAGGATAAAGTAGCAACAACATCAAAGTGCTCTCATGTAAAACGACTTCTTCACGTCAGGTTCCTGAGAGGAAGAAGTGGAAGAAGAGGAGGAGCAGCTGAAGTTACTGATGATTCCACATGTAAAGAGCAAAGACAAGAGCTATATGTATCAGAACATGAATTATTAATGATATTCATAGATAAGCGGATGGATTACTGAACAGGCCTAGGAACAGGATCAGGGGCCCAAAGTGTGAGGGGGCCCAGGACTTCACAATACAAAAGGTCTCTCGAAGAGACTTAAAAGAGACACAAACAAGTACAAAGCGACACAAAAAGACTCCAAAGAGACACAAGCTGCCTGTTAAAACACAGCGGATGAGACAGCGTTCTCTCCTGAGGACACGGTGAGTCTGTGGATCTCATTGAATGAATCCACTTCTTTCCGTCTCCGGTTGTGGACTGTGTGGAGCCGTCAGCGTGATGCACAGCCTGCGCTGCTGTCCCTGGTGTTCAGGTCTTCGGTCTCTCGTAAACCGAGTTGCATGTAGAGCTTTGTAACTCGCTGACTTCTTCATATCACATAAGTCATGTGGTCCCTGCAGCTCTGCACACATGGTTCCTGTTTGAAGCAGAAATCTGTATGTTTCTGGTGATCCTCTGACTATTTATGGTCTCAGCCTGTCGCTCCTCGTCTCTGGCTTTCTTCTGCCTATTTATGGCCCGACGGGTTTTTAATGTTCCTTCACAGGAACGTACGTGAGAGAGCAGTAGGTTTACGTAGAGCTCCAAACCGCCAGCTTATCGGGAATCTAACGCGCTGCATTCAGGACCCGGTGCTGCTGAGTTTCAAACTCACAGTCTGCATAAAGGAGAGCTGGTTACTGTCGACGGCTCTTTATGCAACTACAACTTGAAGTGGCATGAACCAACTTTTATCAGCCTCTGAACCGGTCACAGTCTTTCTATAAGAGGTGACGTCTCTCGTTGGTTTGTGGACGTTTTGAAGCCTCCAGTCCACCAGGGGGCGACTCCTCTGGTTGTATAGAAGTCTATGAGAAAATGACTCTACTTCTCTCTTGATTTATTACCTCAGTAAACATTGTAAACATGAGTTTATGGTCTCAATCTCTAGTTTCAAGTCTTCTTCAATACAGCATGATGTTCATGTAGGTTTGATTTTACAATTTCATATCCTGAGATGTTTCTCTGAACTGCTCGGTGTCCAATGATCGACACATATTGTTCACATGAAAAACGGAAAAAACATGAACTTAGTTTTACTGTTTTAGGAAATCACTTTAAAAATGGAACTTTATATTGGTGTTTATAAAGATCGGTAAGAACTAGAATCACAGTTTAATCTGTGATGTTCGTGTGAACGCTTTAGATTCAAGTCTTAGAATAGAAGTGAAACTAGAAGCCGTCTGCAGGGAACAGAGTTCCTCGAGGAAGTGATGAGGATTCAGATAAAAGATGAGCTGAAGATGCAAAACAGCAGTAAAGTCCTTTAAAGTCGTTATGAATCAGAGTGAAATAGAGACGTTGCTGCTGGAGCAGACTCAGCCACTGATCCACTCGTCCAGAAGAACTCTGAGATGTTTTCACATCGTCACACGTTTCCTCCTGAGAGTCTTTAGGAGCAGATGGAGTCTGCTGATGAACGGTTACATCATCATGACTCATCACATCGCGTCCTAATGACGAGCGTAAATAAACGAGTGGAAACCAACGGTAGCAGGAGACGACTCTGATGTATAGAGAGTACAAACAGTGGTGGACAACAAGTACCGTGCAATCTTTAGTACGAAAGTACGTGTACTTTACACAAGTGTACTTGTGTAAAGTACACGTACTTTACACAAGTGTACTTGTGCTCCACTCCATCATGTCTTCCTCAGAGACGTTTACAGAATCAGAGTTTAAAACAGGAGAGGATGTGATGGATGCTGCTCCAGTTAACAAGTCAGTGTGGACGTGCTGTAAACCCTCTAACGTGTTAGTGTATCGATGTACATTCTACATACATGGTGTACGCTACATGAACACTATGCACGAACAGATGGAATGTTAAACTCGTCTCCGTGTTCATCTCAGAGAGGTTTGACGTCTTAAAGGGAAAGAAAATGTGTGAGTTATATCTATTTAAATGAAGTCACATAAACTCAGAAACATGAGCAGAGACGGAGCTACGGAAGCCCCAAAGCGCCAAATATCATATTTGACTTCTTGTTAGCAGCTCTTGATGTGTTTGTAATAAATCAACAGACCTACGACGGCTGATAAGTAGTAAATAAATAATGAATAAATGACTGAGCCAGGAGCTAATACTCTGAATTCATTAATGTCTTCTGCTTCATTGAGAAAAAAATTAATAAAACTCCGTAAATTTACAATTTTTGTCTCATAGAATATATATTTGTTTTTTGTTTTTAAACCTAAAATGTCCTGAATACAACGTTTTAACAGACTATTGACAGCTTTAACTGGAGCACTGCATCATATTTATCCGCTCATTGTTTGAGCTGTTCATGAAAAAACAATGTTTTTCTCCAAAGTACGGAGCAACTGGAGCCATCAGATAAAAACATGAATTATTGGACTAAACTTCAGTAAAGTGAACCCAAAAAACTTTAAATTGGACGTAATCACGTGCACTGTTCTGTCAGTCTGCACAAAGAGAAACTGTTATCAGTAGAAACCAAACGCGGTCGCGCTTTCTTGATCTGTGTTCAGCCACGTCTGCTGCAACAGAAGGTCAGAGACTCAGATAAGAAAAGAGAAGAGAGCGCAGCAGAGCAGAATACCAACGAGGAGGCTTCAGGGTCACAACAAGACTCTGCTATTCTCTCTGAAGAACCACCGCTGACCCCAAAACAGTTCCTAACCACGGCGCCGTGGAGCTGCAGCTCCTCGTTAAAGAGCTACTCTCAATAGAAGAGGGTTTTCTAGCTGCTGCTGGCCTCATTATCCTGTAGCCAGTGTAGCATTAAAGCATGGTGGAATTAGCAAGCTAGCTAGCCAGCTGCTATGTGAGTGAAATTTAACAACTTAAGGCTTCATCCACACACTCTTTGTCTCATAACAGGAAAGCACATTATTATTGTGAAGATAAATGCCAACTTTGCGTAATAGTGTAGCATTACAGCTTGGTGGAATTAGCAAGCTAGCTAGCTAGCTAACTAGCCACCCGCTAAATAAGTCACAGCTTTATGTGTCATACACACACTCACAGATGAGGTGTTATAATGAGGTCAACAAGTTGAAGGTCTTTTTATTGTTATATTTATATTTTTTACATAATTGTTTTTCTGGACATACGGGACATGCTTTCTAAAATGACATTTAGCCGCCTTAAGACTATTTTGTGAAGCTCAGTCACATTTTTAAGCACTTAAAGTTTGTTAATTTACTTTCTGTCTCTTCAAAACAACAAACAAACCAAAATGAAGCGCTGATCTGCACAAACTTTGGAGAACGTCATAAGTCTCATGTTTACATTCTTTGTTTGCTGATGAGCAAACTGTTTATCTAGAAGATGATGTCTCACAGCTAACATGTCCGGTTAGCACAGTGCTAACATGCAGGCTAGTCATTTAGATTAATAGTCCAATAGACAAACATAGCATTTAGTTTTGAAGATGTAAAGTAGTTCTTTAGCATGTTAGCATACAAAGCTAAAGAGGTGAATTTGGTTATTAGCTGGTTCTCATGCTTGATAATTGGACAGTTTGACGTGCTGCTGACGCTGGAGGAAACAGTCAGAGGATCACTAAAGTCAGTAGAATTCTTCTTCTGGGGATCGTTAAGTTTTACACCAAATTTAAGTTCAATCAATCCGATCGTTGTGGAAATATTTTAGTCTGGAGCCGCATATTGTTTTGTTTTTCAAGTCACTTTGAGAAAAACATGTTTTTCTATCAGAGGTGTGGCTCGAGTCACATGACTCGTTAACCACAGAGCAGATGCACATCAGGCTCTTTTGTCTGCAGCCGCTGTATATACAGTAGGTGTGTGTGTGTGTGTGTGTGTGTGTGTGTGTGTGTGTGTGTGTGTGTGAGTGAGACGATGAACGGGAGTTATGACAGGATTTTTAAAGCCTGAAGCCAAAACACGACTCAGCACAAAGCAGCTTCAGCTCCTTTAATGACATCATTGTGTCAGACTATTATGAGGCTCATGAAATATTTACCTTCAGGACGCTAAAAACCACAACGTGCAGCTGCTCTGAGGGAGCTCATTTAAAGCTGCTTCATGTCTTTGTGCTGAACCCGTCCTGTTGTTAAAGGACCGAACCCGTCCCGTCGTTAAAGGACCGAACCCGTCCCCTCGTTAAAGGACCGAACCCGTCCCGTCGTTAAAGGACCGAACCCGTCCCCTCGTTAAAGGACCGAACCCGTCCCGCCGTTAAAGGACCGAACCCGTCCCCTCGTTAAAGGACCGAACCCGTCCCCTCGTTAAAGGGCCGAACCCGTCCCGCCGTTAAAGGACCGAACCCGTCCCGCAGTTAAAGGACCGAACCCGTCCCGCCGTTAAAGGACCGAACCCGTCCCGCCGTTAAAGGACCGAACCCGTCCCCTCGTTAAAGGACCGAACCCGTCCCCTCGTTAAAAGGACCGAACCGGTGAAAACATCAACTACAATCATCATTTACAGAAAACATAATTCAGAAATAAATGAAATAAGTCACTCCCTATAATCAGTGGATATTTGAGAAAATGTATTAAAGCTCTTGTTGTTAATAAAACAATATTAGTTGAAAAATATATTATTTTATGGGAGAGAAACATCTGGAGGTTCAGCCACATCTTATAGACAAACCTCATCAAGCTGCTCGTCTCCTGACATCAGAAATATAGAAGCGTCTGTTTTACTTCTTTAATCTCTATTATTATGTAGTGTAATGATACGTGTGTGTGTGTGTGTGTGTGTGTGTGTGTGTGTGTTGGCAGCAGACTCACTCTGAACATCTTGAACAGTGAGGAGTTCGACCTTCAGGCTCTTGATGCGTCTCCACATGTTGGAGCTCCGGTGATCTCAGACTGCAGAGCTGCTTCACTGATCAAAGGAAACACGACACAAAGTAACAAATACACGTTTGTGTTCATCACAGCTCAGCTGCAGAAACGTCATTAAAATATCTGGATTCATATTTAAATGTTTCTCATTCGGCTCTTTGAAAATATAAGTTATAGTTTATCCTTTAAGACAATTAAACCCAAAAGTTATGACATAATATATCGTCACTGTATTAACCCTCGCATTACCAACTGAGTTGAGTTGTAAACATGTTTTCTGTCTCTGAACGCAGCATTTTGTTTTATTAATTAGTTTTTATTAAGAAGCTTTAGCTGCACGAGCAGACGGAGATCGTAAGAAAAAAATAATATTTTACAGATATATTCACAAATTTATAAATATATTTTCATATTTTATTTTATCTAAAAACAATATTCAGAAAGATTTTTTTCTTCCAATTTTTTTCCATCTTTATTTTTAAATATATATTTAAATATAAATAAGAATTATGCTTTTTTATATTCATTTTATATTATGAATGTAAAGCCACCTCAACAAATATTAGAGCTGCAACAGTTAGTGGACTGATGGATAGAAAAACACCCGAGTTAATATTTGTTAACAGTTTCCATCTGTTCTAGTTCTTTGTTTTCTGTTGAATGTGACTTCAGAGTGAAGATCTTCAGCTTCACATGAAGAACAAACCAACAGAAGAAAGACCTGCGGTCCTCTCTGACTCCTCCCGTCCTGTGCTGGTCTCTGTAGGTCCTGGTTCAGGACTGCTTGAGACCACATTCACATGGATCTGGTCTGTAAAACAACGGTCACCTGTGTTCATCAGCAGAGGAACACTGAGTCTGTGAGAGACATCAGCCTCCACTTCCTGTGACCTGACCCTGATGTCAGCTCCACCCACGCTGAGTGTGTGTGTGTGT